ACAGTTTTTCTCTAAGATTAAAGTTATAGAAAAAGAATTTGAAAATTTACGATTATTCTACTCCTCGTGGCACACCTCCCACATCTCGTTTTTTATCAATTTACTGGCTAAAATATTGATAATATAATAACAAGTTTAAGTTTTTAAGAATCTAGAAACGTCGCCTATTTATTAGAGTTAAATATCTTATAGATCGGTATATAAAGTTATACTCGGAGAGGAGGAGATTCGTAAATAGAAATGCACACGTGCACAGCGACAGGCCATATCTAACTATCTGAATCGGATCTACGTTAAATTCAGCCGTGTGTATATTTCTAGTCGAAAGCAAATTAAAATTTTTTTTTTCTTTCTTTCTTTTTTTTTTTCAGCTTAATTCTCGTTAATAATCGGTATCGATCACAGTGATCAGTCGCGTCACGAATTTCTTGATTTTTTTTTTTTTTTTTTTTTTTTTTTTNTTTTTTTTTTTTTTTTTTTTTTTTTTTTTAATCTTTTGCTCTCATATACACAATGTGCAGTGGCCCGGATCCGCCATAGACCGCGACTCGAGACTCGAGAGATTGTCTTTTCGACACTTAGAACGAGTTAGAACGAGTACATACAACACCGATATGTACGGGAAGAGGATGTTGCTTGGATGTAATCCCTAATTTTTTTTTTCTTTTCTTTTCTTTTTTTTTTTTAAACCGTACTCCGTTCCACCTCTAACAACGGGACGTTCGATCCCCAACGATTTTTAAATTTAATTTCAAACAAACACCGTCTCGAGATTGCTCCCCGCGTTATCCTGCGGGATCGATTATCGTCCCGTGTGACGTACGTGGATATCGCAGGTACATACATTTACAATTATATCGATGACGCGCATTGCCTGTACACGCCTCTCTATTTACTTTACACGTGACACGTGACCGTCATCGTAATTTACAATTAAGTAAATGGAGGATATCCGCTAAAAGTAATACACACGCACAGTTGGATCAATGATCTCGATTGTCAATTTCGATACGGCGTACGTATATGCATTCTTATCCTCATATGTATGTATATATATAATATGTATATGTATATATATATATAGATTTCTTTTATATTCAAATACCTATGTTATATGTGTGTATATATATATATATATATTGTATTTATGTACGTAGGCGATTATAGTAGTCACAAAGTTAGGCAGACTCGATTCGTACTCGACATCGGAAGGCTGAATCTTGTTTTTGTTTTTTTCGTAGAAAAAAGTGACGACGGTGTACGACGGAGAGAGTGAAACATTTCCTTCTCCTCTCCGTTTACTCGGTTTCGCCGTTTTCGAGAGGTTAAAATAATTATCGCGAGTTCCTCGACGAGAGAATAGCTGAATAGTGGGTTTAGAAAGAAACGAAGCGAAATGAAACGAAACGGAACGGAACGGAACGGAACGGAACGAGGTCGTTCCGCGTGATCGCCGCGCGCCGACCTCTATCCATAATTCCTACGAGAGTTTCCAAGCTTTCAGAGGATTAAAAAATGATATCGTATTTCCCTTCCCAAATTTTTCCCAAAATTTTTCGAATTTTTCATCTCTCCTCGAGAAGAGCTTCGTGAAATATTACGACGACGACCGACGAGTGCAAGCACGTTGCCACGAAAAAAGAAAAAAAAAAAGAATAAAAAGAGGAAAATAGTGATAGATGTGACAACGCGACAACCGATACGATGGCGGTCGATAATTGACGCGAGAGATTCGCATCGAGATACGGTAGAAAACGTGTGTGCTTAGCCGTTTTTAGAAAGGAAGGAAACCTTTCGTCTACAGGTTTACAGATGATTGCATTCGTTCACAATAAGGATTGTCCGTGCGATTTAAACATCGGACGAGGACATGTTCGAGGAGTAGGAATCGTCGAAAGTGTCCTCGTGCCTGATGTACCCTTAAAGAAACAGGTTTAGGATATGTTTGTAGGCCGATCAGATTTTTTTTGTCGTCAACAATCTGCTCGTGTCTTTCTCTTTCTTCTTCAAATGTTCATTCGTTGCCTCGCTTACGTTTTTTTTTCTTTTTTTTTTTTTTTTTGCAAAAGATGATCAAGTCGTTGAAAGACGTTACAAGTCGAGTTCTCGAGACGAAAAACGGTAGATTTTTCGAGATAGATTTTTCGAGATGGGAGAAAGAATCGAAGGATTTCGAAAGCGATCGATAGAAATCGGATAGCCAAGTTGGACCAAGAGATGATCCGTTGCTTTTCTCTCTTCACGATACGATTCTCCATTTATCGCTGGGAGAAGGTCATCGTCCAAGACAATAATGACACCTTCTTGGTAATCTGGTAAACGGATTCTCTAACCTTTATCGCGCGCGTATAATGTTTGCTTGAATGGTCCGTGTTACGTTTTTTTTTATCGTTTATTGCTCCGTTGAAAGATTTTTACTCGAACGAATTAAAAAAAAAGAAAAAACCACCGGGATAATCCGAAAATATTTTCTTAGGAAAAATAATATAAAACGATAAATATCTTATCAGAAAGTTCGGACAGCGCGATAAAGAAACGTAAACTTTCAAAGAAACGTTCGAAAAGTTAAATCGTTCCTTTGAACGGAATAATAATTTTCGAGATTCGATCTTTTTTTTTTTTTTTTTTTTTATTAAACGTTCGATTTCAACGATAAAGGCTAGATCCGTTTGTTTTTTCGGGGCTTGGTCGAAGCGAAATCGTCGATTTCTATTATTAACCATCGATACACCTTTTTTTTTTTTTTTTTTTAGGTTTGATTACTTCGTGCTAGAATTATCTCGTAAAGATATCTCGTACCGCGAACGCAACTTTATAATGCTTTCGTCACGCGCGTCATTTTTTTTTCTCATACGTATGTATCGAATCATTTATATTTGATATATGTATGTATATGTATATATATATATATATATATGTATATATTTATATTTATATATAAGTATAATTTTTCTGTTCTGCTCTAACTCGGGCGGGGTAAGCGCAATACTTTTGGACGAATTTTCTCGTCCATACTTTGTCGCCTCGCGTTTCGATCCTTTCGCTTTCCAATTTTCCAATTTTCCAATTTTCCCTTCCAACGACGTAGACATCTCGAGATTTGAGCCTTGAGATCACGAATCGTATCAATTGTTTTCAATCAATACGATTATTCGCGATTGTACGAGCGAAAGAACGAAACGTTCGAGCGTCGTTTAACGCGTCGGAGGGCCGCTATCCGTCGATCTATCGATCGATATCAATCGAATTTCAAATTTTCCACGAGTCTATAATTGGATAATTTTACGGAATATTGGCGTACGTTCTCCTCTGGGATGGAAGAATAATGGAGATACGAAGGGGAATACGGAGAAAGTGACGAAAATTTTCTTTTTTTTTTTTTTNTCGAATTTCAAATTTTCCACGAGTCTATAATTGGATAATTTTACGGAATATTGGCGTACGTTCTCCTCTGGGATGGGAGAATAATGGAGATACGAAGGGGAATACGAAGAAAGTGACGAAAATTTTCTTTTTTTTTTTTTTTCTTCGAGCGGCCCTCTCGATCGTTTTTCTTCTCCTTCGTTCCGGATACGATTGTTATACGATTTAAATTTGCGAGTGTAAAGGAATCTCTGTTTGTTGTCAGTCTACGAGCTACAAAAATTGCGTGTACTTCTAAACACCAAAGTTGTTTGTGTTATTTTTTTCTTTTTTTTTTCTCTCTCTTTTTTCTTTTTTTTCTTTTTTTCTTTTTTTTTTTTTTTTTTTCAATTGCCATTCATGTCGCCCGTAAAGTTTTTCTTCCTGGTAACCACTTACCGATCGCTCTTCGTGCTCGGCTCGACCAGCGAGCCGATTAAAACGATTGTCTGAACCGTTGTGTAATTTGTCCGATCGTTCAAGGAATCGTCTCGATCTCGTCTCCATTCCCATCTTCTTTCTTCTTTTTTCCTTTTTTTTTTTTTTCTTCCTTCCTTTCGTCTGATTCGATCACGTTTCGAACACCGAACTCTTCGTTTCGATTATTTCGAGGGGAAGATCGAGACGTATCGAGACGGTTCCTCGACGAGAAAAAAAAAAGTAGCTAACCGCATGTTCGCATCGCGTGGTGAACACGCACGTCGTGTATACGTATATATTTTATTTCATCGTATGCAAATCGGTTCGTACGTTATCCACGAGACCCGATCGAATCGCAAATCTGGATCAACCAGCAGAGCACGCGCATTTTCCGTGACAGATGTCGATCGTCTCTCGTTCGACACTGTCGTTCCTTAATTAATGAGAAAAATGGACCCTCGTCGTCTGTTCAAGACGTGGCATCTTCGTTCCTCTCCCTCCCTCTTTTGCCTCCATTTTCTTTTAATAATTCATGAAAAAAATAGAATCTCTCTTTTTCTCTTTTCTGTGTTTCTTCCTCTCTCTCTTTCGTAATTTCTTGCTCGCTTCGATAGATTCTCCTTCGTGGAGATAGATCTGCACACAGGTACGTCCTTATTGCTTGGAGGATATTCGGGAACGAATTCGGGAAAGGTGAAAAATTGCTGGTCTGTGGAGAGTTCGATATTGGATATCGATTTGCTCTTCGATTTTTTTTTCTTTTTTTTTTTTCTTTTTTTTCTTTTTCATGTACGGAGGACTCGTTTAAAAATCAACCGCGCTAAAAAAGTTGCGATTAAAAGTGGAAACAAGTGGGGAAAAAAATTTCGACTCTATTGGGAATCTCGTGAATGATGAATCATCCATCGGGATATTTGATTGTCTCGTGAGATCAAATAAACAGAAAATATTGTTACGTGGAATTGGATCGAAATTATATCCGATGGATGTATCTTCGATTGCTCGGATTTTGATGAAGATTCTAAAATAAAATAATCGGTGGAAAGAGAGATATATTTCGTTTCGTTGAAGAACAACGAAAGGGAATGGAGGAAAGGAAGGGAAACGGAAGGGAATTGGTGGAAAGTAGGAGTGGAAAGTAGGAGAGATTGACCCGATCAGGAGATAATTTTCACGACGGACTCGTTCTCGTCTTTGAGAAGGAGGCTCAGCCTTAGATCGAGTTCCCCCGCCTCGAGGGCCCATTTTTCCCTCAGCCATCATGGGGAGTCCGCGGTATGGGTGCCGAGGGTGTGAATCGGGAACAAGGGATACCAATCGACGGTCAGCTGTGCCAGTGGAAGAAGGTCGAGGCTCACCTCGGCCCCGCCTAACCCTTGGTTGCTTTCGAACGCCTGCTTCTTCTCCCACAGCATCACCAGTAGATTCCTTCCAAGGGCGTCGCAGCTGCTGTACTTGATGGTCTGACGGTATTGCGGGTTCCTCGAGTGTCGCACCACCCGTGTTTTCCGCTTTTGCAGCCATCTGTCGCCGTCTCGGAGATACGTTTTCACGTAAGTGTCTGCGAGGAGGGATGTCGTGAAAAAAGGAATCGTTTGGTTACTTTTAATGGCACTCTCGTTTGTGCTCTCGTTTCGACGAGACGGGAGGATAGACTTGTAATTTTCCTAATGGAAAAACGTTTAGAAATATCTCGTAACGAAAAATCGTGGCTTTATTATTTCGAAGTAAGCGTATGATATATTCGTTAATCCGATTTTTATTTGATCGTGGAAAAATTATTATCGTGGAAAACGACATTCGTGAATATATCAAGGAATCGTTATAAACTGATTTTCAACTCGACGTTTAACTATCGAATAGCCGCATCGATCACCGTGTTCGTTTATATTTCCTGACTCGTCTCGTCTTGAAACGAGCGTATTATTTCTCGTCGTCGTTAAAAAAATTCGAAGGGGGCCGTAATTTTAATGATAGAAAGGTGAAGAAAAAAAAAAAAAAAGAAAAGAAAGTTACCTGGCTCTTCTTTTTCACCGGGACAAATGTCTCGAGCGCATATAACTTCGACTTCAAGCGTTCCTTTGCTCAGGCAGAGACCCAGTTTCACCTCGCCACTTTGACCTCCTGAAATCCGTGAAAAATTCACGCAAATTTGACTTGAAATTTTCGGGAGAGAAAAAAATTTTTTTCCTTTTTTTTTTTTTTTTTTCTCCTCGCATAGTTTGAGATAAAATTAAAAGTATAATCGCAAATATTAGACAGAGAAGAGAAGAATTGTTTTCGGGATTGGAATTGAAATTTTCGGGAGAAGAAAAAATTTTTTTCCTTTTTTTTTCTTCCCTGCTACTTTGAGATAAAATTAAAAAGTATAATTACAAATATTAGAGAGAGAAGAGAAAAATTGGTTTCGGGATTGGAATTGAAATTTTCGGGAGAAGAAAAAATTTTTTTCCTTTTTTTTTTTTCTTCCCTGTATACTTTGAGATAAAATTAAAAGTATAATCGCAAATACTAGAGAGAGAAGAGAAGAATTGGTTTCGGGATTGGAATTGAAATTGATCCGAAACGATTATTAATAATATAAATTGCGAAATTCTTTACCAGCTGTTATCTTGAATCCCTTTGGTGGCACCTGTCCGCGGCCCAGCTTCGCGTTAACGCCATTTTCATTTCTCGTTGGCTGACTAAAATTGAGAGAGAACGGAAATCCGAGTTCGTATCATTTAATATATCAACTCAGAAACTTGGTGGGGGAGGGGAAAACTAATAGACTAGCTTACTTTACGTTTATTGTTCGTTGTATCGCGTATTTTTTTTTTTTTTTTTTTTAGAAGAAACAAACTTTAAACAATATCTGCAAAGTAAACGACATTGGAACGAGGATTAATTTTCAAACTATTATGAAAAAAAAAAAGTATGTGGAGCCTCAACTTTGATTAAACTTCATGATTTCCATTTCTTTCCACTTACCATTATTTCTTACATCGAAGATAAACTTTAACTAGAAAAAAAAATCTCGTGTTCGAGGAGAGTAGTAAAAAATAATCTCAAGCATTCCAACTTTTCTTTTTTTTTTCTCTCTCTTTCTCACGAATAGAGAAACAATTTTACTCAAATCAAGTTTATGATTTTTTTTTCCTTTTTTTTTTTTCATCCCTTTGTAATGATGGTAGTGTGATATGCATATATATATCGAAGTTAATTAAATGGAAATTGATAAATTTATATCGATATTCAATACAGCAATCATATATATGTAATTTATAAATAATATATTTTTTTATAGAGAAATAGTTAATATCTATCATATCATATTATAAAAATTGTGTTTGCAAGAATTAAAATTTTAGCATTTATATTAAATAATTCATATATTTTCAATACATTATTTGCATTAATTTAATACATTAACGATTTTACGATTATATATAGCATTAATTAGTATTATTAATTAGAAATTAATAATTAAATGATAAATATATTTCTTTTTGACGGAAACAACAAGTTTCAGTACGATATATTTTCTGTTTTCTGAAAAATATGACGTCTATGATGAATAATAATAAAGAAAAGAATTTTAAAAGTTTGATTCCAACTTACCTCCACTTTTCTTCCTCGTCCGATTCACTGTTGCGATCGTAAAACCTCTCCGGAATATTCATGACGCTGTCTTTGCGCTCACCCCGCCCTGCGAGTTAGAGAAAAATATTTCCTTTCTGCGACATGTGCATTACGCGATTACCCGCCCACCAATCTACGCGCGCCGTGTGTGATTCGCTCTTCTCTTTTTTTTTTTTTTTTTTCTCTCTCCAAAGTAACGGCTCTGCTTTCTCTCTTTTACCTGGTATCTCTTTAGAAATAAAGGGGGGAGGGGGAATGAGTTGTTGCACCCTCTTTACATTCGTCGTAGATTGGTGGGACGAGTCGTTGCACGAAATTAATTTTTTTTTTACGCATACTGAACGCATCTTGCTTTCCACTACTCTTTAAAAGGGGATCCATACTTTTCGAACAAAAGCCTTTACGTAATCGCAATCAACGAAGCTCTCAACTTATGTCAAGTGTCTTCGGGGTTCTGTTCTGAATTCATATCATGTTTGTGATATGTATGGAGTAAATAGAGATGGAATCGAGATTGATCAGAATGGATTTGTTATCAAGACGATTTATATCTATCTCCAGTCGTCGAGTATATCTATAGTTTAGAGTTTATATATTGAAATAATTTGGAAAAAGTTGAGAAACCCTAGGATGTTCGTTTAATCGTTAATTGTTCCAATTGCACGTTATTCGAGTCATCTGTAATCCTTAAGAAAAAAAAAAAACGTTATTACATGTATATATATTTAAATGAGAAGAAAATCCGGGGAGAGTTGAAAAAAATTCTAAAAGTTATGTATTAATTGTAAATGAGTGGTGTGCAGGGTAGATGATTGTTAACTTGTTTATTTCCACATCTACTAATAATAATATTAATGTAAAAAATATTATAACTAGTACGCTACTGATAATACTAATAAAACTTGCTTTCTATATAAAAATATATATAAATAATTGTATAGAAGAAAAAATTATATATAATACAAAATTTCTTGCAATTAATCGTACATAATTAAAGAAGAGAACAAGAAGAAGGTATATATATATATATATATATTTATATAATAGAGGATCGATAAATTGAGAGATAGTACTACCACACTAAAGCCTACTTACGGTTTTTTTTCTTAGCTACATGTTGCAAAAACTCTAGCTAAGAATGGAGCAGGTCAACTGTAGCTAGCTCCTCAACGTCTATGCGAGAATTGTTGTTATTAAGGCACTACTAAACTACTACTTTTGTCTACTGAAGACCTACCGATTCTACATTGTGGAGTCGGGTACAATAATTCAGTTTGATGATATATTAGTCATATTGTACGATTACAATTGTAGAGTTAATTATTCTGATTCAGTAACGTTAATCGTAACGTAATTTATGTTCTATTTTTGTACTGTAAGGAAGATAGATCGAATTTTTTTTCTCTCGGAGATTTAAGATTAAGGTTACTGCCACTGTTACTATTATCATCGTTAAATGAACTTTGAGAAATTATTGTATAGAAATATCGTATTATCTAGTCGATATTTATTAAATAGGTTTAACTGGATATCTGATAGACACGTCAGAAATCTGTCATCAAGCGTGTTTGGCACAAATACCGATAGCCTGGTTGGAATGTATTGGAAGATATGCCAGGGTTGAAATTAATGGGTCAATTTGTGGCATGTTCGATGATCAAAGCTATAAGATATTTGATAAGTGTGGTAAGATCATTTAATTCGATTTACAATCGGAATTTATCTTATTCCATCACTGAAAATATAATATATATATTATATATTAATAATTCTAATATTATAACAAAATTGATAATATTAATATTGAAAGTTGATATTCGATAAATATAATTGATATTATTTGAATAATATTCTGCATAAATATATAATTTATATATACGAATTATCGAGGAAAAATTGTATATTTATGCAGAATATTATTTTATACATTTTTAAATATGCTATGCCTCGTTCGTAATAGATAAATAATATCAATTATATTTATCAAGTATCAACTTCAACTCCGTGTCATAATGTTAGGATTATTAATGTAAATGGAAACATAAAGTAGTGTAGGTCGATCATTAGTCAGACATAGCTGTTATCCTGTACGCGATCTCCTACCGTGTTAGGTTAGCTTTCTTAGTTTTATTCTTCTCGAACGAGTTTCGTTCTAATCTCTAATTTTCTTCGCAAAAACTCTTAACAAAAATTCCAAATATTTGTATAAAAATACTTTCTTTAAAAAAAATACTTTCTTTAAAAAAAAATAAAAAAAAAAATTGGCATTCTCAAAGTGCATTCAACGACATTCCAAAGTTCAAATTTCCTTACTTACGATCACGATTGTAGCAACGATTGGTTAGCGATTATATATACTCTACATATATATATATATAATTCTCTCTATATATATATATAATACAATATTAAGCGAGCACTTTAAAAAAATCTATAAAGCGTTATCGATGCGAGCGGATAAAGGATCAGCGTAAAAAGAGAGGGATAAGAATTGCTACGCAATATATATATATATCCTACGAAAACACGTTGAGAGAAATTATTAACTTAAGCATAGGATACCTTATTGGTAATAACACACTTACATTATTTAGGACAACGTTTCGAGCAAAACACAATAATCCGTGGGAAATAATCGAACCAGTTCCCTTCTCGTTACTTTCTTAATTGAAATCCTCATCTCCCCGTTGTAATAGACGATATTTAAACGAAAGAAACGATTTGACACCAAAAAAAAAAAAAAAAAAAAAAAAGAAGAAGAAGAAGAAGAAGAGTAAACGAAACGCGTTGTCTCCAAACTTTCCTTTCCGAGTGTAAAATTATTTGAAGAGAAAAAAAAAAAAAAAGAAAAAAAAATCAACTCGACCATCGTGGAATCTACTTGTCGATCGTAATAAAGGTGAAAAAAAAAAAAAAAAGAAAAAGAGAACGAAGAGAAAGAAAAGAAGAGACGTAAAGGATGTAAAATATAACGCTCGCGTTTAATCGGAAATAATAGGTAAACAGAGATAAAGAGACGGCAAACAAGAGGGGGGGAGGGGAGGGAGACTGAATAAAGAAGAGGAAAAAAAAAAAAAAGAAAAAAAGTAAAGGAAAGAGCAATCGAAAGACCGTGGAAGACAAAGTGAAAAAGACGGAGGGGAGAAAGAAAAAGGAGAAAGAGAGAGAGAGAGTAAGAGAGAGAAAGAGAGAAAGAAAGAAAGAGAGAGAGAGAGAGAGCGAGAAAATGTATCTTACCGGAAGCCCGTGACGGTGGCCCACAGTGTCCTGTGGTTATTTATCGAGGTGGTATGGAGTGCGGCAGTGGGAAGGAGGCCGAGTTACCGGTCCTCGGAGATACAGGCTCGCACTGCCACACAGTAACCGTTGGGACTACGCACGCTGTTGTCGTTGATCGATGATGTTGTGGTTGGTCGGTCGATCGAGCCCACGATTCGTCGTCGATCGGGGTGTCGGGATGGTGACGATGGCCGACGATGGCGTTTCGACCGAGCGAACCGAGCATTTTGATCGACCGTTCGTGTACGCATGTCAGAGATTGCCGGACGGTGCCGACCGAGAAAGGAGATCAACAAAGATCAACAAAGATTGGGAAAAAATTGGCAGAACACCGACCGGTCGAGTGGGCGTTCTTCGTCAACGGAAGTCAATGAGAGAAGACGAACACTCAATAATAATAATAATAATAATAATAATAATAATAATAATAATAATAATAATATAGTGGAGAACACGATCAGCGCAAATAGCTTTTGGCACTTGGCGGTTTTTTTTTTTTTTTTTTTTTTTTTTTTTTTTTTNTCAACGTGGTGAAACGAGGAACCAAGCCTGGCGTGGTATAACAGGATATTTTTTTTTTTTTTTCGACACAACGTTTGGAGAGAACTCGCAAAGAGTGGCGCGTGAAAAGGCACGTGTGAAAGGGGAAGATCGAGGGGGAGGGGGGGAGTCGGAGAGAAGAAATCGAGACGCATCGCGATTTTGTTGTTCTGGCGATTCGTTCTTCTCTCCTCCATCCGTTTTCGACCACCTTTGCTCGTGTTTCCTTTGTTTCGTACATTTTTTTTTTCTTTTTTTTAATTTCTTTTTTTTTTTTCGCCAATCGTATCGTTTCTCTCGATCTTGTCGAATGATATCGGGTGTCTGAGGCTGGCGCACAGGCGGAACGAGTACTGAGCGGACAGGCAACAGCGGCGCAACAGCGATCGCACAGAGATGAGCATAGAGCACAGATCATTGCGACGGATGAACTTTTGGAAATGCCAGCTTCTCCAATGAGTATAGACAGACAGACAGACAGAGATATATATATATATATATATATATAGGATGACACATGATTTCGCATTTGTTAACTGATTTTTACGATTTTTCGAGCCGATCGCATTTTTCTCTCCTTTCGAAAATTCGTTTTCGAAACTTTGATTTGTACCGTTAAACACGTGACAATTATATACATACACACACATATATATATATATATATATATCTTTGACTCGAATGAATCGACGTCCAAGTTCTCATCCTCTCCGTTATTACGTATCTCACTATTATTATTACTCTACAAAACTTTCATCGCCGCGTTTCTGATCACGTTTAAGATACACGTGTACGTGCTTTACGTGTACGGGATCGATGCCAACAACGTAGTACAAGGTTATATTATTGACTCTCGACCAGAGGACGCCGGAGGTTGCTAAATATCCGTTATCTTAAATCTAGTTAGCTTACATCCGTGAGCTACTGCAGTCACGACAGTTGAAGTCTCTTTTTCGAAGCGAGAATAACAAGAATTATCGCATAATTGGAACGCATAATTGGCTCGACGGAATATAACGTTTAGCTTTTTAAGGATTTGTGTTCGACTGTATCGAATTAAAGAGAGCAGAAACGAACGAACAAACGATCCCCGATTTATATTTAAAGATTAATCACCGATCGAATATCGCGAAGTTATCTCCATCAATTATTAAATCAATTTTTTTTTTTTTTTTTTTAAGGATCGAACCGTTTATCGCTTTATCTCGAGCTTGAGAAAACGAGGATTTAAAAAAAAAAATAAATAAACAAAGAGCGTTATTTCTTCGCTCGTTCTTCTTCGTCGTTCCTCACTCTTTCGATTTCGATTCGTTTTCGACGAGTGAACGAAGCGACTCGAAGAGAGAATACTTCAGAATTCAGAATTCAGAAATATATTTTCTATCATCGATGCGCCAAAGGCATGTACGAGGCTCCCTTCCAGGCCGATCCGTTTCCGGTTCGATTAGTTATTTCTCTTTTTTCTTTTTTTTTTTTCTTTTTTCACTACTCGCTATCGATACGAACGAGACACCTAACTTGGACGAGAAAAATTATTATTGCCAGGATACTTGTTCGCTCGGTCAAATCGCGCGAGATCGATGGAGGACGTGATCATAATACGAAGGCACACGGAGAAAAAAGTGGGAGACAGAGAAACAAACAGACGTGTGAAGAGAGACGAGGAGACATGGTGTCGCACAGAGAAGAAACACACATAAGATAATTAAAAGGGCCGTGAATAATGTAATGTAATGAGAAAATGCATAAAAATATATGTACACAAATGATACGGACCTACACATATACATATATAAAATACCATTTTCCATTAATAAAAAAAAAAAAAAAAAAAAAAACGAAAGAAACGAAATCGAAGAGTTTCCTTTAATCAAACTCTTTGAAACGCTCTCTTCAATCGAGAATGAAATCGTATCGGATCGAAGGCGTTCGATAATCAATCCGATTTTTCTAATCAATTCGGTTTACGACACACACGGATACATACATGTACGTCCGTGCACACACAATTATTCGCATGCGTACGATACGCACGGCGGCGGCCGATGAGGAAGATTCGATCTGCTTCGATCGGCTGGTGGACGAGGATGGATCGAGCCGATCGACGATCCAACGATCGAGAACCGTGGTGGTGGTGGTAGAGTGGTGGTAGTGGTGGTGTGAGAAAAATAAGAGAGAAAAAAGAGAGAGAGAGAGAGAGAGAGAGAAAGAGACGAAGAAGAAGAATATAGAAATAAATCGACGAGCGTGTGTGAAAGAGACAGTCAGACGGATAGACAGACAGGCAAACAATAGGCACGGATGGATGAACGAAATTGACGGGCGGAGCGAACGATTTCGATCGGTTTAGGCGAAAATGATTAGGCCAAGAGAGAAAAGAGAAGCAACGTAACCATACTCACGGCTCTCGCGTCTTTTGTCTCCCGAGAGACTCATCGTCCTGCCAAGCTCCCTCTTGGCCGCTTTCAACGATCGTAGACCCTCCAGAATTTCCTCCGGGTCCCTCATTGGCCTGGTGAACGAGCTCCGTCGCCGATCTCGGTTGAAGTGTATCGTCGGCATCTCGGTCTCGCCCATACTTCCGCCTGCGAAATCGAGAATTTACTATGTTTCTCGAGCTCCTTCGAATCGACGGGTTATTGGCGAAAGGTGACTTTTCCAAATCGAATATTTTAATAAAATCTATGGATGGATGGATGGAAAATTACGAGTTGAAATTCGTAGTTAATGATAATCCTTGGGGATTACGAAGAACGGAAATTAGTTATTATCAGATACATTTTCATTTGAAAGATGAAGAAATCGAGTGAACGAAGAAATGAATTAGGATAGGGTTTGAAGATAGAAGCGGAGTGGAGTCTGTTTGAGGACAAGGGCGTGTAAACAAGAGAAGAGAAGTGACGTGGATGACCTAAAATTTCTCGACGACCGATATCTCTTTGAAACTTTGATTTTCAACCCTGACCCGGTTTTTCACAACGTATGAAATTAGAAAAATAATATTCAAGCCGTGATCGAGGCGATTTTGAGAGAACGAAATGCTTTCTCGAGAAAAGGGAGAAAGAAGATAGGATTATAAATCTTACTTTAAATACGTACGTACAAGAATCTGCATCGAACAAATTGATATTGATTATTCGACGATTATTAAGTTTGAACGATGAATTTGAAAAAATTATTTGATTTTTGAAGTGATTTTAAATGCTTGCAAATTTTACACCTCGTCGATCTTTTTTTTTTTTCTTCTTCTTTTTACACTTTTTAGGAAGAGAGAGAGAGAGAGAGAGAGGTAACCTCGTGACAATTTATTTCACTTTTTTATACTTTATGGAAAGAAAAAATAAAAAGTCTTGGAAATAGAAGGGACTGAAATAGCAACGAATATTCCAGCAGTGAAATTTTACTGAGAATCCAACGGGAAAATAATGGTCTCTTGTTCAGCTTTTAGATTACAATGTATGTTCTCGCATTTATATTCGACTTTTTCCAGATATCGACATTTCCATTATCTATTTTTTCTTTTTTCTTTTTTCTTTTTTTTTTTCCACACATATTTATTCCCTAATAGCATCTCCGTCTTTATACAAGAACGAATTTACAAATGCAAAAATCTACCAGAATTTATAAACGCGTTAATTCCAATTTTCGACTTTTCAATTTTATAACATAACAATATCATATAAATATAACAGATGCAAAAATAAATGTTCGAGTAAAAGTAACAATAATATTCGTAATAATATTGAATTAAATTAAACTTAAAATTCTGATATATATATATATATATATACAATATAATCACTTACTAGTAATAAAATTGATCATAATTTTTTCATAATTTAATATTAAAACAACTAACCTTTAATATCTTTATATACAATAATTAAAGTGACATAATAAAAATAAATAATCGTATCCCAATAAATTACAATATTAATTTTGTCAAAAATTATTTTCACATCTTCGATAATCGTAAAATAAAATACACGTGATTTCAATTGTGTCTAGTGTTAATAATCTGTTTTCACAAAAGGTGAAAGGTTTCATAAAATGCACAAAATCTTTTCCCCGCAAGTAGTCGCAAAATAAAGCTCATTCGATAATAATATCAAATGCTTTCGATTTTCCCGTTGAGATAAAAGAAGATAGAAAGATGTTAAAGATAAATAACACGGAGTGGAAAGTGAATGGGGCCACACTCACGTTTACTGTCGGTGCCACCTTGGCTCTGGAAACTGCTCCTTCGGCTGCCCGGCAAGGATCTACTGTAATCCCTGTTAAGTTCGTACGGTTCGACTTCTAGCTGCTCGGATTGGCTGGATCCTCTTCTGGAATTTGCATGCCAAGCGTGGTCCGGGTGGAGGAAGCAGAGCTCCGGACTTCCGCTGTCGCTTTGCGTGTCGTCGCTGTAACTTCTTTCGCGCAGCTCCGTCTTTCGCAGTAACCTTTGGGCAATTTCCATGGAAAGGGAGCCTCGGGGGGAACAGTAGGGCGATTTGCTCGCGCGAAGCCCTCGGGGGTCTTCCAGCCGATACCTGAGAACCATTTCGTATCCCAATTTTCGTCGATGTATCTGTAAATTCTCGTGATAGTCTTGGGGATGTGGATAATGATATTGCAGAAATATTTTATTTCTTATTTGTTTATACGAATACGATATAATTTTTCATATTTTTTTTAATAAGCTTTTTAAGATCTTGTAATCTAGCTATAAATGATTTCGTATGTTAATTATCATCGATTGTTCGTCTCTGTAAATTCTCGAGATAGTCTTGAAAAATGATATTGCAGAAATATTTATTTTATTTCTTTTTATAGGAATTATTATTTATAGGAATCGTAGATATATATCTTTTGAAAGAATTAGGATGAATATTTTTCATATTTTTTTTTAAGCTCATGAGGGTCTTATAATCTAGCTACAAATGATTTCGTACGTTAATTATCATCGATTGCTTGTTTCTGTAAATTTTCGAGATAGTTTTGGGAATGTGGAAAATGATATTGCAGAAATATTTTATTTCGAAAGAATTAGGATGAATATTTTTCATATTTTTTTTTAAGCTCATGAGGATCTTATAATCTAGCTACAAATGATTTCGTACGATAATTATCATCGATTGCTTGTTTCTGTAAATTCTCGAGATACTCTTGGAGATGCGAAACGAGTGGTACTACAGTTATTTTTAACGATTCGAAAAATATTTACAATATTTCTTTCCTACTTGTACGAATCGTAGATACGATGTATATCTTTCGAATAAATTAGGAGCAATATTTTTCTAGATTAAAGATTAAGCAGAGCGATTGCAGAGTTGAAGATATTCTTGGAACGTTATTTTTAGTGAAAATATACTATTTCCTTCTTACTCATGTGAATCATTTTACGTAGAATTGATATATAGTAAAATTTAAAGATCTATTTGATCATTAATTCATTATCTATTATTTTGTAAGATCAGCAATATAAATTTTTGATTGCAAAACATTAAGCGTATTTCCCTTTTTAAATACGCCTCTTAATCGCGTCTCTTTAATTCAAAATGTGGCTTCGATCATTGATATACCCACGCACAGAAATTTCGTCGATACGTATAAACACTCCATAATAAAAAAAATAATAAGACGTTATGTATCACGATATACAAATTAACTGTACACATGTTATTAATTATTAAAATTTGAAAAAAAAATATTGAAAACTATTCTATAATTATTTATTTAGAATTGTATAGAGCGTGTAAAAATATTAAAGAGTAATCGTTTTAATCATTTTTATTGATCGTGTGCTTATCTTTCGAAAAATTATATATCAATATTTACCAAACTGCTCTGTCGTTTTCGAGGGCCCGTTCCAAATCGACGGTGCATTCGCCGAGAAAAACGTTATCGCCGTCGGGGCAGAAATCCCACAGGGTCACCTCGATCGCTCGCTTCATTAAGCTCTCCCCGTCAACCCCGGAGAAAAGCAATGTTGCATTCCAAATTGGCTTTTGACTTGGCTCCGCGACCACGGTTTTCAAAGTAATTTGATCGGCGCTGAAACGTATAGATAATCACGTCGATACCCGGATAAAATTACACGGATAAAAGAACAAGAAAAAGCACGTAAAACGATCTTTAATTAATATAACGAGCTTTAATTAATATCATCCCAAACGAAAATGAATTATACTTCGAATCTCGAATGATATATACAACGATCTTTTTGGCGAAGGAACAATCGTCGCAAAAGTCAAAAGTGTCTAATCGTCGAAATTCCATGGCCTCTTCTTTCTTCATCCGCGAGGTTTATATCGCTCGATTTGAACCATCTTTCAACTTGTTCGATTGTTCCTTTGCCAAAAACTTCGTTGAGATCGCGAAACGACCGTGCTACATTCCTCCACTTTTCTCCAAATGGTAGAGCATAATATATGGCGAATACGGATACGATTAACTGAAAAGAGAGGATTATTTTTGTGAAAAAAAAAAAAAATAATTGCAATAATTATTGCACCAACCAATTTTTATATATACCAATTTTATATATTTTATATATATATATATATATATATATATATATATATATACTGTTAATGTCTTGTCCCTCTTACCCGATCGGAACCAGGGCCAATTTGGCATACGCCTCCGGCAACGTGCCGTATCCGGTGTCCTCCCTTGCGCACAAGTCGTCCGCCATGAAAACGGAGACGATCAGCTCCTTGCGATCCGCCTCGTACGAGACTTGTATCTGTATCCTGCCCGTCACCTGCTTCTCTTTCGCTATCTGCTCCTAAAATAGAGGAGACAACACAGAGGGGGTGAAGATCCGGCACAGATGGATCGATAAATAAGTCTAATAAATGGCGAGTAAATACGAATGAACAGAGACGAATGATCCCCGTGATCTCTCGAAAGTCGAGAGAGTCGAAGATCGTGAATTCGAGTCAAGCGGTGAGAAGAGATTCAATTAATTTAATCGGGGAAAGAAGATAAGAGAGAATTGAATCGAAAGATCGAACGTCTGTGTTGCACGCGTAACACTCGTGGAAATTGGAAAGCGAATTTTCTCATTCCCTCGCATGCGCAAGCGAAAGGTTTTTCCTTTTTTTTTTTTTTTTCAAGAAAACTGAAAGCAAACCAGGCTGTGCGCGATATATGCACAGATCGATCAGAAAATTACAAGGAAAGAAATTGTATGCGAAAGCCATGTACACGTGTTCGACACATATAGCTGGGGATGCGTGATACGTAGCGTGTGATCAGCGATGTAACGATATCTTTTTCTCGATTTTTTTGATTTATTCTATTATTTTTGGATGTTGATAAACTGAAATCGTTGGAGCTTGGAATAATTGCGTTGTATAAAAGCTTTCTTGAAAAAGATGAAAGAAGCGTAGATATGTGACACGAAAGAAGAGAATTTTAAATGTCCCCGTTAGATGGTAAATAATTGAAATAATCGGTTAAATTTCACGATCACTTCGATTTTTTTTGGTCGCCGTGGATTAGGGTGGTCGATGACGGAAATCGATCCTCTACTTTTTCTTTCTTTCTTTCTTTCTTTTTTTTTTTTAACGAATTATATTTTTATAAATGGAATTGCTACCAACAGTATCCGAGGTCTAAAGTTCTTGATAACGATTGAAATAATAATTTCGAAAAAAATAATTGATCGAAAACAATTTGAAAGCGCGCAACACTTTCTTAACGAAGCGAATAAAAGATTAAAAAATTTTTAATTTAAGAAAATTAAAAATTATCTCGATCACGACGTTTCGATATTAAAGAAAAAAACTATTCAGAATATATCTCGAATAAAAATTTATTTTCAAACGGTATATATATTTTAAAATAATATATCGGGGAGTAAAACGAATTTCAACGCTAAACAGACTTCTTTTTTTAGTAATTCTCCGTAGTATAATATTTGCGCATAGATTCACAGGTGGCGGCTTTTCATAACGGAATATAGTTAATATGTGCAAATGGAATTCGAGAATAGAATGAAACGTGTAAAAGGAAAAGAGAACTGTCCGTTGCGGAAACGTGTTTTGTATTCATTTTTTTTCGCGCATTAAAAAACATAGTGTCTTATTTAAATTTCATATCTTCTTTTCAATTTTCCATACGCAAAAGTCACAAGAGTTTGGATAATCACGGGAAACCAATAGCAATTCCACTTCAACTAAACTCGTCTCGTAATTTCGTCTCGTTCGATTTCGAATCATCGATCGTAAAATTAGATCGAAATTTCTGAAGGATTGAAATTATCGTTGCCCATCACTGATCTCTACAGCCAAGAAAAAGGCAACAACCGGCCGTTTCCTGTTTTTCCATCCTTCCTTCCTACCACTACCCATTCGCGAATTCCTCTCCGTTCATATTTCACCACGATTCTACAATTTCTCACTTGATACGAACAAGCCGACTTGATCTCTGTGCCTTTCTCTCCGTACCGTTTTCCCGGACTGCAAGTCTTCACATTCGAGACTTATTCTAACTATTGCGCATTACGTTACGTACATATTCTATTGACAAAATATATATATAAAAGAAATATTAATATCCAATAAGAGAAACGTCAGCATTGATCGATTCCCCCCTTTTTATATTATTAATATTATTATATAATAGTTTGCATAATTGTATAATTCCAATATATATATGTTTATACGACACGATAATTAAGTCTCGAATATGAGATGTCACGCGTTTCAAAGAGCTACGCAAGCGGAGCTACGTGTGCGTGTGGCGTATCGCGGCGCTTTTTCGGCCTTAAAGTTTCCATCGACGAGAACGCTGTCGATACACGATTGACAACGAAACGGGAAACGCAACGAAGGAGGCAGGGAAAATGAACGGAATCGGTGAAATTTCACGATCGCTTCGATTCTTTTTGATCGCCGTGGATTAGGGTGGGATCGATCCTCTATTTTCTTTTTTCTTTCTTTCTTTTTTTTTGTTTTAACGAGCACGCCTTTTGAAACGTCGACGCTTGATACGTTAGAGAGAGCGCTCGATCCGGCGAAGAACACCTTTAAAGCCGAAGCAGGGTCGCGAGAGAAGCAATTTGTATTGTGTCAGGCTACGATCCTTTCTACGCTTTCCCTTGTTATAGCCCTCGTTATCGTCCTTTAATCAACCGGAGATACACGGAGTTACAAAAATTACGTTCAAATTGTTTTTCGTTTTAATAATTTTGATTTAATCCAACGTGGATATTTACAAAGCCATTAAAGCGATTACTCGTTGTTTCGGGATAGATTGGAAATTTGTTGCGAATCACACGTTAACCAACCATTTTCACGATGATCCCGGATTAAATATTAATATCGGCTATGTTTGCTCATTATTTGTACATTTATTAATAACTCGTGTTAACATTTATTATTCCGTTTGGCTAGATATTAGAGAGAAGTTTTTATTCGATATAATAATCCATATTGAAATTCATTTCGGTAACAAGCTGTTGAAGCGTTTAACTCATTTATTTGTCAATTAATTGTTCATACTTATCGATAATTGACTTCAGCCTAGTAGATTAATTAATTACGCGTAATCGTTCAAAGCGCCCGTTTATTTCGATTCGAATTCGCACGAACAATTCACAATTCACAATGAGGATTTACTTTATATACATATATATATATAACCGTGTAGCTTTGTATAAACTTCAAAGGAGGAAAATATTACTCTCCCATCACGTCGCATCCCTCAACGAACTCTTCTAAACCGTGAAAGTGTTGGTAACTTATAATTCGCTTGCGAGAAAATTCGTTCGATATTCCGCGCGAGGAGAAGCTATCGATCAACGTTGTTCAACACGTGCTTCGACGACAGAGTCGAAGCGCAACTCCGATGGATCCGAGCGAAAAAAAGTTTTTCGATTCCGATTATTCAACGAATAATTCGATATCTCGACATTTCTAACCGATTAATAATAAATCGCGTGATCCAGGGAAAGCGTAAGCCGAACATCCGCCATTTTTTTTTTTTTTTAACAAAGGATTCGAAAAGAATTTTCGAGAATCGTCCGTCGAGCGGAGGATTCTTAACAGATCGATAAGGAACGTTTTTTTTTTTCTCGGATATTCGGCGAACATTATACACATCGGATACGGGACGAATTTGCTTTTGTTTTGTTCGTGTGATAAAACTGCGCTTAGAGACAGAAACAAGAGTCGATATATATGTGTATATATATACAGATTGGTACAAACAGCAGATAGACAAAGAGACAGATAGAGACAGAGAGCGAGAAAGAGAAGAGAAGAGAGAGAGAGAGAGAGAGAGAGAGAGAGAGAGAGAGAGAGAGAGAGAACGAGAGGAAGGAAGAGCGAAAATAAAATCGTAATCGGGAATGGAATGAAGATGAATGAAGAAAATTAATCCTTCGTTTCGTACGTGATATTTGAAATTGAATAAAGTTTCGTCGTGAATGAGATGTGTAATATATAAAAAAGATGTAGATAAAGCAAGAATTTTCATTAAATTGTTCAGCGGATTCGGTTAAATTTAAAAAAAAAGAAAGAAAGAAATCTATGCATTCGTCGTGTTAAATCTAATTGAAAGTGGAATTTTATCGTTATTAGATCATCCCACGAGTAATATCGTTTTAAAAATTCCAGTTTCCATGAAAGAAGAGTAAATTAAATTTATTTCATTTTTTTTTTTACATTTTTAACGTTCTTTTCTTTTCAATAATTTCTTGTCTTGATTGATCGAATAAAATAACTCTGACCGAATTTATTTTTTTTATTTCGCGTTTTTTAATTGTTTTTCTCTGCTCGAACATCGTAATGGAAATGGCTCTCCCTAATGCCGGTCATTTATCTATCAAAGCTGCGTGTAATCCGTTTAATCGGTAACAATAAACTACAACCAGAATAGTTTCACTTTACTTTGCAAATTTATAACTGAACTGAATGTTCCCCGTATATATAGTATACGGAAATATTTTTGTTAAAAAGAGATTAAAAATTTTATACGTCGAGTATTGCCTTTTACGATTGAAATTGCTATGCAAGATTCATTTCTCATCCCGCATTCGTTTCACTCTACAAAATCAAACATCTATATAAGTGTGATTTCCTCTGAAAAGTTTGCCCCCGAGAAAACCCATTTCCTCAATTTTGACATTTTTCCAATATCGTTCAAGTATCGTTTGTGGACAGCGTCGAATCGAAGAATTTGCTTCTTGGACGTATCAGAAATATTTTATTCAAATATAAAAGCCGACATTACTCACTGGGATGATCCAATATCGAAACGAAATCTAATTTTGTGCATCCTATGTAAAAAAAATTCTCTTTACACGCATTGTTGTGTAACGCTATTTAGTGCCTTTCTTTTTTTCGTGCTCTTTAAAACTTTAACTTCAAAGTTTCTACGTCAAATCAGCTAATCACGTACTCATGCCACAGTTTCATCCATTTCCTCTAATCTCGTGAAACGAAGGAGTATAGGGAGTAGCACAAACGAGACACAAGGAACGAAAGAAACAAACTATGAGAGAGCGGATCACTGCTAAAAAAACGACGAAGTAGGCATTATCTGAACGACGAAGAACGAAACAAAAGGAACAAAGAGAAACTGAGAAACGTGAGAGAAAGAAAAGAAAAAAATATGGTATGAGAAAACGCAAAGTAGAGACGAGCCGCAAAAGAAAATGAACGCTAATAATACACAACTAGAGTCGTGCCAGTTGGGAGAGAAATAGCATGGAGGGCCAATATGCTAAGTTTGTTCAACATGGACAACTTACATTTCCTTTTCTCTTTCGTCAGCGGG